TTTGTGTTTTATTGTTTTAATCAATATTCCTTATTTATTTGTTTTAAGAGTCTTCTCAAAAGTAATGTGATAAATAATTAGGTTTATAAGAATAAAATATTCATAGAATGATTCTCTGGGATTGATTTAAAACATAGCTAGATTTTTATTTTATTTATTTATTTATTTTTTTTTTTTTGATTTATTTATTTTTTTTTTTTTTTTTTTTTTGTATTATATAACTTCTAAAAATATTAAACATAATAATATCCTGTACAGAGAATGATGTCGTGATGGTCTTTAATCATAAATTGACAGCTCTCAAGAGTTTGTTAAATATTCGCTTTGGGGCGCCTACATTGTGACAGCAAATGGGCAGAGGAAAACTCAGCTTTGAGTCGAATGAGGAGCAGTTAGCGACACACACTCATACACACACACAAACAGGCACACACACACACACTCATACTTAGAAAAAGTGCAGCATACCGCACGGCGCACGTTTTCTTTTGTAAACTTTATTATTTCGTGTTAAAAGTAAATAAACTTATGCGGGCATGCTCGCTCTCCCACTCTCCTGCTCTCCTGCTCTCTTTCTCTCTTTAGCTATCTGTGCAAGTATCCACACTTAAGTGAAATACTAGACGGGGGACTCACACATGTGTGTGAGTGTTTTTACTACTGTGAGTGAGGATTGGTGGGGGCGTTTGCATTGTTTGGCACTTGCAGTAGCTTTGCCTTTGCCTTCCTGCTGTCAGCCAGCCAGTCCAAATTGAAATTGGACATTAGACGTACACACAACGACAGAACAAAATGGCAGCTGCCGCGACTCTGCTGACAACTACAGCAACAGCAACAACAACAACAACAACAACAAAACGAACTGCTGCAACAACTACTTCGAGTCCTGCCTGGTGGCGCACTCATTGTGAATGACAACGCCCCTGGTACGTGATTTCATTTCCGTTTGGCTTTGTACGCTGCACCTCACAGCTGGCAACGTTCGTCGAGTCGCTGTGAATCTGAAGTTCTCGACTCTCCTCCCCTACCCTCCCCTCTGGCCAACCCTCTGCTGCGCCGCATCCACTTCATTCTGGCTCTTTCTTTTTTGGGGGTCGCTTTAGCATTCAAAGCGACTAACTGTAACTGTAGGTACATAACGTCTATATACAGCTGCACTTGTGTGTGGGGCCTCGGCAAATGCACATTTTACTGTGCATGCGTGTCGTTTCATTAAGAATTTTGCGCTTATCTGGTTGGCTGGCCCGGCCACTTGACAGGTGGCTCCACCTACCGTACACAGTACGTACTACACATTTTATGCGTCTTTTAGCTGATTTACGAGAGGAACTCTGAGAGTCTGATTGAGTGTGTGTGCGTGTGCATGAAGGGTTTATGTGAATGAAACGTTTTTCCGTACTAAAAGATATTCTCCATATAATCCAGAATATCCCGAATAGCTATCAAATCACTCTATGCAAGTTAAAGAAACTAACCAAACTACTACAGTAAAGCCTCTGTTTGACTCGTGAGGCGAGCATTGACGATGGCCAACTGGATGACATCATATGCTAATTATGTCAATATTTGGCCACATCGGCTCATTGTAAACCAAATTATAATGTGCCATCTATATGTGTAGGCATAATTAAAACTATATAAATCATAACTCATTTAGATGCAAAGTGCAGTCCGAACAAAGCAGAATACAAAGCGCAGATTGCATGATAAAAGGAAAAAATATCAAACAAATTTGATTTTCAAATTATGAACATAAGTATAGCAAGAGGTAGTCGGAAACTGAGTGAGTGAAAACTTGAAAGTGAGTTCGAATAAATGGCTTAGCATTTAGACAAATTAGCATTTACACAGACTGATAACCGAGTCTTAATTACAGCTAATCAACAAAATGCCAAAACAAAGCGGCCAAGAAAGCGGGCAAGAAGCCGTAGAAGATGCAAAAGCCAAAAACAGAGTCGCACCTAGCAGATGCTTGAGTAAAATTTGAATTTCAAAGTCAAGGCCAACAGATGAGCCATAATTAGCCCTCCGTTTGTGGCGCTCAGCAAACGACCACATTAAAATATGCATACAAATTATACATGAAGGAAAAAAGGCAGTTAAATATATAATAAAAACTAGTTGGCTAAAACAAAAGAGCGACAAACTGGAACATAATTGTATTAGCCATGCGCCAGACTAGTTGTATGCGAATGCACTGCAAATGAGAGATGAGATGTGGGACAGGCCTTAGATTGTATTGTAGATGATCGGAAGCTAAGCCATGCAAATCGTATGCCCATAAATTGGCCCTCAAGAGATCGACATTTACATACGCGACTCGTCTGAGAAATGGGAAACAAACAAAACGCTGAAAAGTTCCAATTTGAAATTTGGTAGCTGCATATAAAATTAACAACAAGTTTTTAGATTCGCTTGGGCCATGAATCTGTTTGACTATTTGAGTGGCGCGTCTTGTTTGCGCTTCGCTTACGAATGGTATGATCCAACCGCTGACAAAGAGTGAGAGTGAGAGAGAGAGAGAGAGAGAGAGACGTACCAGCCCGGCCAGCCGGATCATAAATCTACTAGCCAATATTTGGACAGCGCTAAAATTAAGCAGCAATGCTCATGATTAACGGCTTGATAAACTGAATTTGTAGTTGCAATTTAATCCGCAGCACAGCTCATCTAGCCAGCTAGCTGGCCGAAGACAACGTCGTGCCAGCAAATTAAGATATCACCATAAATAATGGGAAGCATTCGTAGAGCCAGCTATAGACTATGAGGAAATAATGCACGAGTCAAGGAAGAGCAACCAAGGCGCGCAGTTCTATACAAGTTTAGTATTTAAATACTGTTTATTATTCCTCCATTTGCTAATGGTCTCTATCGAAATTTCAAACTCAAAATATTAAAGAAATTTTATTAGGGGGCGTCAGTCAACCAAATTAACACACGGAAGACTACAGATTGCCTATTGTCTCTCAGATGCTTATGTTTCGCATAACAATGCAGAGGATGAACAAAAGAGTAAGCGCCGTCAGCTTCTTTAACGTGTTTCCTTATGGTATCAAAACTGAAACACTTTTGAAATTTAGTCTTAATTTATTCATGTGTGTTAAATTAAGCTGAAAATAAAAGCACCGTAGAGAATAATATTAAATGCAACAAGAACTCAAATTTAACAAAAATAGAAACTAATAATAATAAATAATCACAATTTTATGCATGGTTTATATAATTTGTTTACTATAATTAATAAATTATTTTATTTGAATTATATAATAATTGTTTTTGGCTCGGACATTTTGTAACAGAAAAATACAAATGATAAAAATAAAATAATAATAATGATAATTTAGAAATAATAAACATATAAATTAAAATAAGAAAGTAATAATACCGCTAAAAGAGTATAGATCTTAAATATTGAGTAAATTATTATGAATTATAAATAATATTCAAATACAGATTTTAATATGTAATTATTATAACTTTTTCGTTTCATTCAATTTTAATTCTTTTTTTTTTTTTTTTTTTTTCGAGCTCATAAATTAATCACTTAAACTATTTGTATTTTAATTTCCGATACAATCTATCAAGTATGTGTAAACAATTAATTATTTTACATTATTCACTCAATTATTCGCACTCTCCGATTTGGGTTTCAAAATATGTTAAATGTTCACGATAGCACTCAAATATTTTATTGTGAACAATGCTCAAAGCAGCTTCTGTGTCTTTTAATTATCATAAACAAAGGCAATCATTTGCATGACATACAAAAGCCACAAATCAGCAAAGCGGAATCAGACTCCAGGTATATTTCGAACGGTTCATGAACGAATCGCTAATGAGCTTTGGAATAACTCAGTAGCAAGCGGTGCTCATGACCGAATGAGCTATTTTAATCACTTCTCACGGAATAAGCTTGTTAATGCATTTGACATTTACAGGGTATATTCAATATATACATAGGTAAGGGCTTCATTATAAATTATGATATATTTATATTAAATAATAAATTAAAGCTTTCATTTACGCGTTACTTCCTGAAGGCGAGTCTCTTCTATAAATATTTCCACAAGCGATTAAGACAATAGCCCGGCTGCGATCAGCCTTCACGGAGCTGTCAGCCAAATCAATTTGAAGACGTCACGTCTATTGCCAGACCCATATTCAAGCGTGAGCAAATGGAACTGGTTTCTGGTAGTAAAATGAAGCAGAATCAACATATTAATGGCCAAAGGCCAAAGACCAAAGGCCCATGAATATAAGTATATATAAATAGAAATGAACGGGATAGAGACAAATCAAAAGAAAAACAAGCCAAATACAAGCAACCGAGAGGCAACGATAAGAATTATGTCAGCATAAGCATAAAGTCGTCTAAGCCCTACCCTAAACAATGCTTAAACACTTTCCATCCAGCGATTGAGAACAACGAACTATAACTTAACCAACAAAAAGTTGAAGCCAAACCTGTTAAATGTAATTTGCAAATTTCCGGCTCGACACGAGACATGTGTTAACCGGACTCCGCAAAAAATACTATGAAAGAAATAAGAATAAAAATTCATTTTTGTTTATATAAAATGCATATTTGTAGAAAAGTTCCCGTTAGCTGGCGCTCTTCATTATACTTGATGAGGTTATTAAAAAGCAATTTGATGGCATAAATTAGACAATCCGCCAATAAATTCTATGGCAAACGAGTTGCCATCAAGAGTGGAGCCCATTCTTCAATCGTCTGGCCCCCAAAGACAATTTAGTTAGCAACTCTTAATGGGCTTCTAACCATATTGAACACTCAATATTCAGTATTCAGCATTCAACATTCAGCATTTAGCATTCAGCATTCAGCATTCAATATTCAGCATTCAATATTCAATATTCAAAATTCAATATTCAATATTCAATATTCGATTTTGTCTACACCTAAGCAAACAACTGACGCCTCTTCGAGGCAGGTTTTTCACAATCGCCAAGAGTATTTGGACACCCGCTCTCATCAGCGAATGGTATAAATAGTAACAGACCAGGCCCAGACAGACAGAAGCTATTCAAACGCTTGTGGAGTAAGAGCCGAACTATCACCGAAATGGTAAGCCACGATGTCCACGTAGAGCCCACTGCTCGGAAATTGGTTTTAATCGCGATCTATTGCACAGAAATTCTTGGTCGTTGCCGTTGCCTTCCTGGCCTGCGCCAGTGCTGATGTGTCCCAGCTGAGCTCGGGCTATAACTATCAAGCGCCCGCTCCGGTCTACCAGCCAGCTCCAGCACCCATCACCTACGAAGCACCCGCTCCGGTCTACCAGCCAGCGCCCGCTCCGGTTTACCAGCCAGCACCAGCTCCAGCTCCAGTCTACCAGCCAGCTCCAGCTCCAGCTCCGGTCTACCAGCCAGCTCCAGCTCCAGTCTACCAGCCAGCACCGGCTCCGGTCTACCAGCCAGCTCCGGCTCCGGTCTACCAGCCAGCCCCTGCCCCAATCCAAATCGAGACACCTGCACCTGCTCCAGTCAGCAGCTACATCCCACCCGCACCAGTCTCGATCCCAGCTCCTGCTCCAGTCAGCAGCTACATCCCACCCGCACCAGTGTCGATCCCAGCTCCTGCTCCAGTCTACCAGCCTGCCCCTGCCCCTGCTCCAGCACCAATCCAAATTCAGGCTCCCATCGAGTACTCGGCTCCCGCTCCAGCTCCAATCTTGACGTCGCAGCAGGCTATCGAACAGATCGAGCAGCCCTCAATTGATGGCTACCGTTACAAGACTGTGCGTCGTGTCGTCTACCGTCGCAACCGCCTGTAAATCTAGAGCTCCTAAATGCAGCGCATCCTAACGAATCTCCCATAGAATATCAATAAAATAAAAGAAAAACTAAAACTCAAACTTTGCCAAATTGTTTTCCAATCAAAATGCCAGCCCGGCCGCACTCAATCAGCAACAGTCCCAATCAGCGGCTGCAGCCAGCAACTCCAACTTTATGGGCACTTGAAGGCAAGCCTGTTCTCCACTCTCTTTCTCTCGCTCGCTCGCTCACTCTCCCGCTCCCTCTCTTGCTTGTGCCTGGGCCCAGCATCGATTTAAGTTGGAAATTTATGAAAGCCAAATGCATGCTTGGGAGAGAAGAGAGAAATCAACTTAGTATCCGCATCGCAATCGCCATCAGCAGACAGATAGCAAGAGGTGGCCGTCAAGGAGTTGCAGGAGCGGCAGCTCGGCCCGTTCCCTAAGGAGTCGCCGCACGGCATTCGGCATGCACTCACATTTATCACGAAATTTATGGGCTGGAATGAGCTCTGATGATGTGGAAATTTTTCTCGTTAGATTCAAAAGTTCCGCCCACAGCCACGCCCAGGCGCACGGCAACGTGCACATTGGCCTCATCAGACCACTGACCACTTGTGGCTGCGACAGCCGCAATTGCGCTAACAAGTGCCAGGACTAACCGAGCACAGGGCAGGGGCTCGCCACGGAATACGCCGGGTCGCAGACCAAGGAAAATTAACAAGAAACTGCGATGACATCGACGACGACGTCTTTACGATTTGATTAGGGAAATGTCTGCAACGACGCGTTGCCTCCAATGGATTTAACAACCCAGCCGCTGGCCAGGGTCACAGTTCAGGCAATATAGTTTGAGCTTCCACTTTAAAGCCTCGCCGCAGCAGCCACACACATTACACGGCGTATACTAATTAAAAAGATAAACAAACTAAGAGTAGGTTGGCCAGCAAATACCCTCGCAGCTGCGCTAGAGTAAACCAGCTCTATAAAACAAACAACAATTATTATATTCAATCTCTTTTAAAATTAATTTGAGCTCAAATAGGGTCAAATAGGGCTTATTTTGCACTCTCCATCTATCTGGAACTTAAATTAAGTTGTAAACAGCTTTCATAATTACTCAAAATTTTACCGCTGCCTGTTACAAACCCTGCTTCTGTTTCATCATGTCCCAGCTTATAGCCCAATCATGTACAATAACAAAAAAAAAGCTGCCAAATTAATTACGTAATTAAAACAAATCATTTTTTGCTCTCTGCATCAACCGCATCACGCGGAGCAGAGGACAAAGGACAAGAGGCCCGGGCAACACCAAAGCCAGTGCCCCATGTCCAAGCCGGCTTTTGTTAATTGCATTTTGGTCAAATATTGGCAGCTTAATTAAATGAATTAAAATGCGTTTACGCTTTGATGCGCACATCCCGACATAAATAAATAAATATACACAAATATATTTACACATACTGGCGCATAGTACGAGCCGCTGGACAATGTGAAAATTGCATTGGTCCAGTTTGACAGGCAATTACAATTTATAGACTATTGAACTTGACCACACTAATCAGTTGGTGTTTGTTCCAGGAATGTGCAGTTGCGGTTGGCTAGGCTTGAGAGATTAGAGATATATCAAAAAACATTATTTGTCTCTATAAAAATATTTATGAAAAATATTTGCAGATAGAACCACCGCATATTAGCTATATATTCCAGTCTCTATAACTGAACATAATGTTACACAAAAAAAAAAAAAAAAAAAGTATGAGCTAGTCAATATTTATCTTTATCTTTATTATCCTTGTTGAAGAAAGCATTTGATAAATTCCATAAATTTCTCGTTGTATCCAGCAATATATTTTAGTAATATATATTAATACATCATTCTTTTATTTAAATTGTTCTTATTCCAACATAATAATAACCATAAAGCTTTCAAAACTTGTCTTACGCGTATAATAAGAGCAAATACCTTGGCCATTAATATTCATATAGAGTTATGATAATCTATCAAAGTACTTCTATGAACTGACCACTTCACTGTTTCTCTTGATTTGTCTTGATCATTGTTTTAACGGTTTCTTCAAAAAGAATCTTTTGAACCGAACAAAATGAACTAATAAATCCGAAAATATAGTTTATTCTGAACTGATTAATTTAAATTTATTTTTTCAAATTTGTTCGAAAGTTTTTACTTTCATATTTTAGATTAACGTTCCCGAGGGGGGCGTGGTGGTGAAAAAACGACTGCAAAAACGGCCAAAAGAATCAGTGCGAGTTTCATCTTGTAGATTTCGTCTTCTTCAAGTATGTCGAATATGAGAGCAACTTCAGCTTATATAGCTGATACTCTGGAGTGTGCTCATAATAAGCAGAATGTGGGTACGGCTCGTATGTGCGGAACGAATGGGACTTGGGTGAAACAAGCTTTTTCTTGTATTCCAATCTAAAGGCGAATATATTTTAATAGGGCTATCCAATAAATACATTAATGTGGTCATAATTTTTGCATATTTTATAGAAATAAATAATAATAATAATAATAATCTGTATTCTATTCAAACATATAGATGACAAACGCACACGCACTGAACAGTAACTGCGATTAGTGAAGCTCAAATCCGAATAACAATCTGCCAGGAATCGAGCAATGTGCAATTTTCAGCCTCATTGCACATTGCTTGACAACTAAGCCAGCGCCGAGTAAATAAAACGGCTCGGGGGACAGGTGGTGCGGCAGTGGTGCGACAGTATCGCGGCGGTGGCTGGAAACAATTGACAGTTGGCTGCATTTGCAGCCGCACTTAATTAGTAGTTAATGATGCTGATTAACACGCATTATGGCCAGGCTGTCCCACTCCTGCCCAAACTCTGATCTGCTGCGAGCTGTCCAGGTATACAATGTGTAATCAATGCTTTAGGCGCCGTGGATTACAAAATAATCGCACGGCAGACAAGCGCCATGCCCGCCCAAAAGTATGCAAAAGAAATGTACTCAGCGCGCGACAAAAAAAAATACAAAATACAAAAAGTTAAATGCGACGCATATAAAAACTGATGAGGCCTACGAAAGGGGAGTGAGACAGATGGTGGGGCTTACAGCAAGCGCAGCTTACGGCTGTATCGAATACACATACACACACACACACACACACACACACACTCGCACAATATTGACAGTATCTGCGTAATTATATCAGCAGTGGCAGCCGCACGGCCACTGAAATATGCAACGTTGACTGCCTTCATTTATTTTTACTGTTACTGCATATTGGGGCGGCGATTCGATGTGCGGCATATCGCTGCCCATTTTACACCTGTACCACACAGCCCAGCCCACACCATCCGCTCGAGCCAACGAACCACCGAGCCATCGAGTCGCCACTTTGCGCTGCTGCAGCAGTTGCACTTCATTTGCAGCATTAATTTGTCGCGCGTTGATTTATCTCGCGAAATATACGGAAATACGAGCACATAACACCACGACCCACGGCTTGCTGCTGGAGGGGAGGCAAGGGGAGTTGAGTTGCCTGAATTTATGATCTGGCAGTCGGCGGGCATTAAAAATTGTTAAAATCGATTGTTAAGCGTTGTCAGCTGTTGAAGAGTTTGGCATGTCGTTGGGTCAATGCATTTTAATCCAGTTAAATGCATTTTAAATATACTTTTCTCATCAGACAGCTGACAGAACACGCGTAAGTGCGGTTGCTTCGGCTGACCTTGAGAGCAGTTAGTCGATAAGCAGATGCCATCTGATAGTCAATTGAACTTAAAGCAGGAAGCCGCATCCCAAACACTAAATGAATGCATTAGAAAAGCAGCGCGATTGTAAACACGTTAATCAAACGTGACGCATATGGAAATGAACTACTTAATGAACTGCCTCAGTTCATCAGAGGCAAGTTTATATTTAGCCAAAGTGGAGAGCGTTTTGGAAAGTGAATGATTTTATAGCCAACTTGTGCTACGGACGAAAAACGAGTTATATTATGTCTGAACATAAGAAGAATTAAAAATGAACAACAGAACATTTCAATTAATATTAAAAATAAATTAGTTCCATTGGAAGAAAAGTTTTTAATACAAGTTGAAAATATGCCAAACAATATATTTTTATAAATTATAAATATTTGTATATACTAATATTATTACCTGTGTTGTTAAGCTACTATATTTGCATTATACAGATTCAACGCTCATTTAAATTATATTTAAAAAAAAAAATTATATTAATAATATTTATTTTATAAATATTTAAAATTCGTTTAAATGTTCTCTTTTCAGACTAAAATAAACATTAAATATATTTAACCCGATTATAAAATAAATAGGTTAATATAATGGGAAGAAGACTTTTTAATTGAAGCTCCGAAGCTTTAAGCATATTTTTCGTATTCTTTAATGTTTTTGTTTCTGTTTCTTATCTTTATTTTCTATTTTTATAAAAACTTCTTAAAAATTCGTCAATATTTTTAAATAATAATATAACTTTTATATATATTTCTTTTATATTTTCTTAAAATTCTTTTCTTATATAAGTTAGATAATTTTCATCCAAATAAATTTAATTTAGTGTAATTTAATTGAGTGTAATTCTAAATCGATGGACAGCATCAAAGTTCAAATAGTATTGCCATGGAAAGTATCTAAAGTTGTTTGCCCACAGATGATTGTTTCGAATTGCTCTCCAGCAGAAAGTGCTAATCGGATTATAGAAGCAGAAGAAGACAGCAGTGCAGCAAGTGCAACAAATGTCCGAATTTTGTTGATTTCACATTCTCAGTTCCTTCTCTGTGCGATTGCAATATTATTTGAAGCTTTCGTCTCAATTTGTGATTTCCACAATATTGCGTTGTTATTCCTTAAAGCACATAGAATATACCAGCAAATGTTGGTTTTGTTTTCTTCTGCTGAACATTTCAAATCCCCACCCAAATAGTTGTGTGCCGTCAATTTTTATATACATGCATATATTTCTGTGCAGCGTTGCAGCTTCAGCTATTAACAGACAAAAAACTAAATTACGTATACGCAATGTTGCATGACATGATCTGAGCTAGCAGTAAGTGTATGGGTGTATGGTTGCGTATGTGTGTTGAAAAAATTTCGCAGTTTCAGTTTATTGGTGCTGCGAAAATAATGGAATTGTCAAAATAAAAGCGGGTTAAGTGCTTGTTTGCATAGCTTTTGTAGTTTTTGTTTGACACAAGCTGCAAATATATTCGAATCACAATGGCGACACAGCAGTCGAAACTCTGACAGTAACACTAACAACAAGAACTACAATAACAACAACAGCAACAACAACAACAATAAAGAGAGCGACGCCCAAATGTCTCAAAAGCTTTTTGGCATAACTAAAGCGTTGACAATCCGCAAAGTGGCTCATTGGCAATTTGTGTAATTAAAAGACATGTCCTTCACTGAATTTCCACACTCACACACACACCCCCACACACACTCACACATACACATACATATATATTCAACTATTTGGCTGATAATTTGTTTTTCATGGCGTCGGTCACACTGGCGACACGCTCAACTTTTGACCTGCAAGCAAACGCATATTCAGATACGCATTATATATCGCATTCATATATCTATATCTGTATCTATCGCATACAAAGCAACTGTGAGCCATCAAGCTACAACGACAACAATCGACAGCAATGAGCCGTTCACTGGGTAGCGAGCCAAATTTGGCAAGACTCTTGGCTTGGCTCTTTTGTCCAATAGACACTGGTCCGCCTTATCACAGCTAATTAAGCAAACTAATCACAACAACTTTTTGGCTTGCCCATCAAATCAGCTTAACTGAACTCCGCTCAACTTAGCGCAGCTCTGCTCAACACAAGTGGTAGTTGGCTTTGATAAAAAAAAAAAATAAAAAAAATAGCATTTATGTTTTATGCAAATTACATTTAAGCTCAAGCACTGGCAAAAAAAAAAAATACACTGAGAATAGCACACGATATTGTTCATCACCGACACACAGACACACTATACTTAGACAATGGGAAATACTATATTTATTTCTCATTTATTTTCCAAAGCAAAAAGTATTTTAGAGAATAAATAAATAAAACAGACATAGATAGAAAATATAAAAACATATAAATAAATAATCATAAAATAAAATATTATATACTTTGTATATATATTCATATAAATATCATCGCTCATTATAAGCATATTGAATTCATCAAACGTCATTAAATGGATCAATCAAGTCATCAAACATTTATCTTTGCCCCAAATATAGCAGATGCATTGTGTTCAGTTTGTGTTCAAGTTGAAACAATCGGCAAATTGTTTCAGCTGCTCCTGATTAACATATCTGATAATGGCCACCGTTGGACCCCACCAGCCCGATTTGATACTCTACACTCCATTAGTCTTTGTGTAACCATCTGTTGACAATAAAATTCTGGTTTCTGGCATATTAAAAGCCTATAATTTGAGCAATTCTTCATCGCGTTTGTCTGCGCGGATTTAGCACCGCGCACAATTTCATATAAATACTACCGCCCCGGGCTGTCCGAGATATACTAGCAACTGAAACGTTCCAAGTAACATACTCAAACATGGTAGGTGGACGCAGCAGCGGCTACTGTCGATTGGAGCAGCGAGACTCAAGGATTAATCCTTTCGATTTTGACTTGCAGAAACTTCTTGTTGTCGTCTGTGCCCTGTTGGCCGTTGCCCACGCTGATGTGTCGCAGCTGTCCGGCTACAACTACGCCCCGGTGGCAGCAGCCCCAGCTCCTGTGGCCCCAGCTCCTTTGCCCGGCAAGATCGCTCCTGCTCCCGTGAGATCCTACATTCCTCCTGCGGCACCAGCACCCGTCAACCTGCCCGCCCCAGCTCCAATCAACGTGGCCCCTGCTCCAGCTCCGGCTCCCATCAACGTTGCTCCGGCTCCAACCAACCAGTACATCCCCCCAGCAGCTCCCGCTCCCGTCCAAGCTGAAGCCCCAGCACCAGTTGCTCCAGTCTCTCTGCCAGCCCCTGCTCCGGTCAACCAGTACATCCCTCCTGCCGCTCCCGCTCAGGCTGCCATCCGTGTTCCCGCCCCCGCACCAGCGCTGGCTCCCCAGCCCTCTCTGGAGGAGATCGAGCCCATCTCTAATGATGGATACCGCTACAAGACCGTGCGTCGTATCATCCGTCGCCGCTTCTAAGCAGTGATCGAGAGTCCTAAGTCTAGGGCGATGACAAGAAGTTGATTCAATAAAAAAAAATATTAAGTTTGTACAAAAAACAAAAGCAATTATTTTATTTCTTTCAAACATGAAACTCAGCTCAATTAATTCAGTGGATTGTAGCCATTAATTTGTGGTATTGCTTTTTGGTCATCATTAAGCGAAACATCTTTTATATTTTGAGTCGGTTTGGTATTCAATTCATTCAGATGGTTTGCTAGACCCTGATAAATGGGATTAAAAAATGATGACAACATTTTTAACAACAAATGCGGAAATAATTCTGTCAAAGTTCAGCTCTCTGAGTTAATTTTAGATTCAAGAACAAAATGTAAATAAACTAAGATTTGCGACTTACGAGTATTCAATTTCCAGGCGCACGTGGCTAAAAAAAAAAAAGAATAGTTAATAAATCATCAGGAAACCAAAAACACAGAATCGCTTTAGAAATTTACAGGGTATTTCTAGAAGGTGGATTAGCTTGAATTATTTACTATGAGCAATTGAATCCATTCATTATTTTAAAGTATATCCAAAATTTGTATATGATTAAAGTGAAGATTGCTTAGAATAGATCAGGAAACATCTTTAGCATTTACATATCAAAGAAACTTAATCGAAATCTAGACTGTCTAAGACCTTAGATTTGACGTATGTATATATCTATATATAAATATCTATAAATATAGCTTAGCTTAGCTTTCTATACGACTGGTCTTAAAATAGCTTAAATTAGACTAGGAAATATTTATATTCGATTTGATTTTATATTTTATTGTATCTAGTCGCAGTCCATCAACTCTTCTATCATCAATCTCATCTTCCATGCGGAGCTCCAATTCCGCAGTTGTGCCTGTTGCGGCCTTCGACTGACTGCTGTTCACATACGATTTCCTTGCTTGGAAAAAAGAAGATTTATGCTGGGAATAGTGGCCAGCATATTAACACTTTCATTATGTAAGAAATAAATTCGAATTGATAGTCATTTTATGCTAACAGCTGGGCGCCCAGCGCCGATTAATATGCCAGACATTCGATGCGAAAATAAATTAGGCAAATGCGATTCTCGGCAATTAACTAACTGACTTAGAAGATGGGGAAGCAATGGGATGAGAGAAAAACAGAAAGAGAAGAAAAAAACTATTGATGTTATTAATTTTGGCATTAACTTAAAATGATGCCATAGGCCAGAAGGTCATTTGTGGGACATAAATCACCATTGAGCGATGAAAACAAGAATGAAAAAACTGAGCAACTAGCTGAAATCGAAATTTAGATACAACAAAAAACATTGAAAACTAAAACCATTATCAGAACAAAATAAAAAAATAAAAATAAAACAATAATTTAAAAAAATTGAAAACAAATACATATATGCATACATATGCGTATACGAATGACGAAGAATCAATACGCTATACATTATACAGTATATATAATATATTATAATTTTCGAAAAAAATTTAGTTTAGTAAGTAAGTAATAGGAATACTTATATAATCTTTTTATTAGCTATATATTCTTTTGCGATAGTAATTTGTTATATATAACTATTCGCATACCCCATCTATGATTTATGCCACTGCTCTGGGCGTCCTCAGCAATTCGTCTTAGCATAGAGCGCTAAGGACAGGAAGAGATACTCGACATATTTCCTGAGCAGCTGGCCAATTTATTTGGTCTTTTTTATGCAGATAATTCGATTAATAACCATAACAAAGGCAATATGCCAAAAAAAGAGAAGAAACAAGAAACAAGAAAAATATTATGAGCAAAATGAAAATGAAGAAGTAGAAACATCGCTAATAGAGCGACTGACCCACGAACATACATCAAATTGAAGAGCCCCAAAGCGTAAAATGGGGAAAAAAAGACCCCACTCAAAGATAAAGAAAGAAAAACAATAACTAACGACATTCATATGTAAATGGTCAAAAATTTGTTTTGATCTAATTAAAGAAGCTTGCGGTGCGAGAGGCTGACCCCACTCAGTGCATTGTCTGAAGGTGTCAGAGTACGAAACCCGTCCAACCACTCGGCATTGGCCGTCCCGCTTCCTCGAGTTGGCCCCAGCCGCAGCCGCAGCCGCAGCCGCAGCCGCAGCCGTATCTTAAGCTGAGCTCGAGGCACTTGAGGGCACGCAGATAGCGTGGCATCACGCAATTAATTTGCGGCTGCAGCGGCTGCTGCTGACCCGAGCTTCATCTATGGGCTATAAAAACCACGGCGAGTTAAGAGTTCAGCAGTAGACAGCGAGGAGTGATCCGAGCAGCAAGCACAGCAATAAGCCAATCCAAGCCAATATGGTAAATTCCAATCATTATCAATTCGGATCATTAAAGGACGATAATCACAAATCTATCAATTTCTGTAGAAATTCCTGATCATAGCCGCTGCCTTCTTGGCCTGCGCCTTGGCGGACGTTTCGGAGTTGTCACAGCAGGGCTACGATTATCCGCAGCCAGCGGCACCGGCACCAGCACCAGCCTACATTCCCCCACCGCCACCACCACCACCGCCGGCACCAAAGAACACCTATATTCCTCCTCCTCCTGCTCCGTCCAAGGCCTACATCCCGCCCCCGGCTGCACCAGCCAAGGCGTACATTCCACCCCCACCACCACCACCGCCACCAGCACCCAAGAACACCTACATTCCCCCACCCCCAGCTCCCGCCAACACCTACATTCCCCCTGCAGCCCCCGCACCCATCCAGGCCGAGCAGCCCATCATCGAGGAGATCGAACAGCCCGCCCAGGACGGCTACCGCTACAAGACTGTACGTCGTCGCGTCTTCCGTCACCGCAACTAAGCGACGGAAGTTACTGGAAAAATACGAATTTTGTTGACTATGTGATAAAGACGGATTGAAGAGAGCCGACAGAAAACTGTGTTGTTAAGAAAGGAGAATTGTTTAAACGAAAAGTCAAGTAATAAAATTTTAAATTTTAAAAGCAAATTCGAAAAGGTTTTCTTATTGGCCAACCATCGAATATGCCTACATATTTTCTTGAAAAAAAGTTTGATTCATCAGATCATCGTTCAAATAGATATCGCTGGTACTTTAATCTTAACTAATAAAACTTATCTTAAACTATCTTAAATAATAAAACTCTTAAATTCAATACTTCTTTTACTTGTATGATAAAAGATTGTCTGGCTAAGGAACAAAAAGCGTTTGCTCATTCTTGAAACGGATGCTGAAAATCGATTGAAAGCGTATTGAGCTATCCAACAGGTCAACCCTTGGCAAGTTTTGGCAATCAGCTAGATTCGACTGAGCTGAACTCAACTCAGTTTACTTCCACTTAACATGCCACAGCCCATTGCCATGCCCAGTGGCCGGGCCCATTCAATATGTTTACCGCAAAAACCCTAAACAAACCGCTCAAGGCCAAACACATGTCACCGGCATTCGGAGCGCCGTCGTCTCTATCGTTGGTGCAGTAAAAAGGTCAATTCGACGACCAGACCAATTTGAGCTGTTCAAAATAAAAACAAAAACAAAAAAAAACGAAAAATGGAAAAATGGCTAAGCCATTCAATGCCACAAAAGGAAGGCGACGAGGAAGCGGAGAAGAGAACATGGAACCCAAGAAAAAACAAACAAATCCTCGATTACAAAATCAAACAGCATGAGGCAAAAATTTGCTAAAAAACAAAGGAGCCAACTTGTTGGCCAGGCCATAATGCAAAATGGGAAAATATGCGAATTCAATAAACTGCTCGCCAGCCCGAAAGGACATGAGCTGCTTGGGTTGGGGAAGAGCGAGCGACTGCTATGCCACAGTTCACATCCACCCACACACACAAACACACACACACACACAGTATCTCTTCCTCCTCTCTCTCAATCGCCTGGTCTCTGTCTGCCTCTACCCTTACAAGTCATTTGGCCAATTGCTGTTGACTTTGCTCTAAAGCGAATTTCCTTTGGCCAGCTCCTCGCTGTGGCGCTGTGGTGCTGTGGCGCTCTGTCGCCACATCGCCAATGGATGCCACATATTTTGCACTCAGTTTATGCTGATGACATGCAAGTGGCGAAATTATTTTGCGCTCTTGCATTTTCACTGCCAGCCGAATAATGAGCAGCAAACAAGCTGACAGCAATGGACCACGTACAATGGACGATGGCATCAAAGACTGCCAGCTAACAGGAAGGTCTACAATTTCTCTGAGGCCACTTGATGCCACGGGCACCCACTGAACAAACCAACGATTTGTTAGCCAAGTTATTAATGCGCTAATCAATTCGTGTCTACATGAGGAGTGTATGATAATAAAAGCAGGCTTCAATCGGACTGCAGAAGCGATTTTGGCCAACAATAAAGTCAACGACATGTGGCAAGGCTAAGCTAGAAACACTTGGGAATTAATTATATCACATTTTTTAACCGAAGGCCCCAGATGCGAGTGTTTTATTTTCAAGCTAATTTTATTTTAATTTTAATTCTAATCTCCAAGTAAAGATTTAAATATTATATTTTTAATTTCTGTCTTATATAGGTATGACTCTTATATCTAGCCAAATTTGATTTATTTATTTGATATATTTAATTTATTATATTCATTTAACTCTTGTTTAATGAGGAGAATAAAGTCAATGATAATTATAATAAACAATATTTAAGATGAATAGCTTGAATGATTCAAAGTTTATAGTCATTAGAGTTTATACTCATTAGAGTTATAGGTGAGCTATGTTTAAGCAGTCATATATATCTAGTTAACCAAGAATCTATATCAAGTTGCAAATTCTTTATACTCTATGCAATTTTGAATGCCTTTGATATAAAAGAAATGTGTTCTTCAACATCTGGTGCAAGACAGCAGAGAGTATCTCTGGGCATCTTGACAATGTATATCCTTATATGCTGGGTCTTATGCCCGTCAAAACTGCGGCAGACACTTGTTCTCTCACTTGATCCCGCCCCTTCATCCCTTGCTCCTCATTTGCCAGGACCTCAGCTTCAGCTTCTGCCGCCTTTGTCGCCGTCGTGTGACATACGAAAATTCCCCATGGAGTCTATCAACAGTTGATAAAGCAAATGTGAGTGGTGTGTGTGTGTGTGTGCGGGTGCGGATGTGTGTGTGTTGGTAAGTGTGAGGAAGCTATCCCATGCTCGTGCCGTTGCTTAGCATTGGCATTTTGCTCTTGCTCTTGCTTTTGGTATGTACATAAGTTTATTATTTTGAAGGTAATTGGATTTGTGTTGCAGCAGAGGCAACCGAGAAGCCAGAGACCCCATGCTCGTCCAGGGAAGTCGCATATTCTGCGGCAAAATAATAAGAAAATATATATTTTTTCTTGCGCGCCGACAAGGACAATGAACTTCGAAGAAAAATACGTACAAGCTGAAGATGCCGGAGGAGAGAGAAAACAGGCGGACGGAGATGGACGCAGAGATGGAGTCTGAGAGTGGCGCACATCCCAATCGCAATTGCAACATATGGTCGGGCCAGGGAGTCGCGTGGTCCGCCAATGGACATTGGACATTGGCCAGCAGCAGAAGCCGTGGCAGAAGCTGGAACAGCGCCTCGAACAGGGCCATTGTTTGCAGTCGTAATTGTTTTCCTAATGGATAAAGTCTATAAATTTCTGTGCACGACGCACAGCCAAATGCGAAATATGTCACGAATGTTAAGCGTTTTATAAACGACAACTGCGGCCAAGAGCGAGGGCGAGAGTGAGGACAAGATGTGGATGCTGCGGCGACTTATCGATGCCAGCCACTCAGCGGGTGCTGGGGTGGATGAGAGTGGAGCCACTGCCAGCCGCCCCCCCACATGAATAGAAAATTGAGTTGTTTATGGAGCCGACACTAAAATCTTTGCACAATGTGAAGCAGAAGTTAGTTGACATCAAATACGGCATAGATCCTGTTTGGGACACATTCACGACCTGCGCCTGCTGCACCACAATTGTATAATAAAACAACATTACAGTCGGCTGCTGGCTTAGAGTTAGGTCTCCTGGCTGTCGCCCACTTTGTAGATCATGTTAGGGTTCTCAATGCTCCATCTTCTTCTGCCCACCCAGAGATCCAAATAAATCAAAGGCAAATCGAATTAATTTCTATAAATTGTTTTCTATTTTTCCTTTCATAGCCTATAGTTAGTTTATCCTGTTGCAGATCCTTTGATGTGCACCAAAGAACACACAAGATAAGTGCAGTTATTTCCTTCAGTTTAAATCTCTGTTTCATCTATATTTGCTTTGTGCTTGCGGCCAACACACTCGAGTCCAGCGATAACAACAAAAAACAAATGAGACTCTCCTCGAAGCGGACCCGCAGTCAGCTCCATTTAGTTGCGATGACGGAAGACGCGACGACGCACGGTCTTGTAGCGGTAGCCATCCTGGGCGGGCTGCTCGATCTCCTCGAGCACCTGCTCGTCGGCAGCTGGCGGAATGTAGGCGTCGGCGGGTGCGGCCACTGGTGCTGGTGGGATGTACTCCGGCTGGGGTGCTGGTGGTGCGGGTGGGATGTACTCGGGCGCTGGCGGTGCTGGTGGTGCGGGCGGAATGTAGGACTCGACGGGCGCTGGTGCAGGCGCCAGTGGTGCTGGCTGAGAGTAGTCATAGCCAGGCTGGCCCAGCTCCGAGACATCGGCGAGAGCACAGGCCAGGAAGGCAACGGCAATGATTACGAATTTCTGGCAAAGGCAAAGGCAATGTTTAGTAACAGCTGTTATAGCCAGAAATCACTGTAGGCGAGGGAGTGTGTGTGTGTGTGTGTGTGTGTGTGTGTGTGATGCTACCTACCATTGTTTGGCTTGTTGTTTGAGCTACGATCGGCAGACGCAGTGTGTTGTGGCCGTTGAGCGCTGCAACTCTTTATATAGTTAATGATTAGATCGCCGAATCAGTCCGAGCCAGCGGCGACGGAAGCTGCCAAATGACTTTGAACTTGATCAGCGAGCAACTCTTGCTCAACCCTCGCCCTCGCCCTCGCGCCCGTCTCGCTCTTGATGTCTCTTTGGATTCGTCAGTCCAATCACTGGCTATACCAAATGACGACCGGTTTCATGCGGTCGACCTATGGATGCACACTGAGCGATAAATTGATGGGGCATTGATCACGTTTCGTCTATGTCTATGTCTTTATCTTTATCTTTATCTCTATCTGTGTCTTTGTCTCTGCATCTGTTCGAGTGGACAACGGCCAATTGATTTGGTCGAGTTAGAGGTCAACAAAATGCGTTTTGTCTATGCTTGAAATGAGGCCCTTTAATTGATTTGCTTCTGCTTCTGCCTTTGCCTCTCTGTGACGGGGCCACGCGCCAAGCGGCCGACTCGAGCGACCCTGAAGCGACCCCCGCCAGAAAACCTTTTTTTCACATTTTGTTATTATGTTTGTTGTTGTTGTTGTTCTTGTTTTGCTTTGTTTTGATTATTTTTTGTAGTGTTTTGTAGCGTGTGCTTGATTAAGACCAAATTTAATTTGCATTTTGTTTGAGAGCGAAGCAAACTTCAATTACTGTCCAGCCAAAGCGGGAAAGCAGAGATTGCTACACTCTTTGCAGTCCCACGTTGAAGCACAGTGGTGCGAGATATTCAAAAATTCTGCGATTAGCTAAAATCTATTTAATACATAGTTATAATGCAAACTGATTCGCTTGTAAATATATATCTGGGGCACAGTGGTGCAAAACACTTCAATAAAATTATTTTATTTAAATTTATTTTTATGAAACTAGAATCTATTTGATCTATTATAATATAATTGTATTACTCTTTCGTATTTGCTCCACTGTGCAGCAGTCCCTGATAATATTGCAAATAATTTTCTTTTTTATGTTGATTATTTTTTGGACTCTTGCGCCGCTATTCTCCACCTCTTTTCCCCCCTCTCTCTCTCTCTCTCTCGCTCTCTATGTACTTGTTTTACCACCCCGAACACCTGAACACACACCTTGGCATTCGTATCGCGTTTCTTTACAACATTTTTATGAACTTTGCTTCTTTTTTCATTCATTTGTTCGTTTCCGTTCTTCCAACCTCATCATATTTTAATGTGGCGGATTTCGCGGCGGCATCTTTGGCTTTTTCTATGCTTCAAATTATTCTCAAGAGATTTGCAGTTCGTGATTTTAGCGGGTGATTTTATTGGTCGCCCTGGTCGAGGGGTGGAAACCTTCTATGCGGCGCAGGAGGAGGAGTAGTAAAAGTGAGAGGAGGGGGAAGTAGAAGGGGATTTGCCTGGCTGCAATTGCAGCTGATGTCGTGGCAAAGGGTACGTTGGCTATATGAACATATCAACTGGCTTTTAATTAACGCCCTTAAGTCCGCATTAACTTGGCCTAAGCCGTTTTTAATTTCTCAGCTACCCGCCGGCTCACATAATTGAATTAGACAGAGCAGCAGTGGCAGCCGCCGCAGACGCTGGACACAATGTGAACCTTATGCGCTGTTATCCTTGATAATTAATTTAGACGCAATTGTAGCCACATAGAGACAGAGACAGAGACAGCGAGGGATAGTGAGTGAGCGGGAGAGAGTCTGCTTGGGTCTGTCCAGTGCAATTCGGACCCCAAATCCTTTGCAGTTTCACGTCACGTGCTTGCGATTTTTTCCATAAATCGCCAGGATGGACAGCTTTGTCCAGCTGCCGAGTGTCCACAAAGAAAATCCATGGCATCGCAGCCGAGCACCTTTCTTACTTTTTTTATGGCCAAAAAATGAAGCGCCAGTTTTGACAACGCACGTCCCAGCCAAGGGCGCAGGCGGAGGAGGGGACGGCAGGGCAGCTACTGGAAGATGCACACGTAGCACGCATTGGAAATGCGTCAAGTTACCTGACGCAGTGGCAGCACCTTTTAGACGAGCCATGAAATCGAGTTTACAGCTTACTAGCCCCACACAACGGGGCTGACAACAATACGAATACGAATACGAATGCGAATGCGAATACAAATGTGAGTGAACGAGTACTCGTAGTCCTAGTCTAACTGTACTCTGTAGCAGGCAACCATAATTAAATGTCAAAAATGACGCTACGTGCGATGCAAGCTAAGTGGCTTCAGGCAAGCTCCAGGCCAAAGCTCAAAATGAAAAAAAATGCTAAAGAAAAGAAGTTTCCTTCTTGCTTTCTTCTTCTATTTCAAGTTTTCTTTTCGGCCAGCGTCAGAAGCTGCCCCATACAGTTTTACTCTAAATCAAATAAAAATATATATATGTATATGGACCCATACCCACATCTACGCTTAGGTATATATGTGTGCATGTCGAATAGTTAACTTTGTACTTATGTACATATATAGACATAATAGACAACTCATCCCCATTTTAAAAGCAAACAAGCCTCCAGAATTTCCTACTTCGTACCTCGACTTCGACTAATGACAAATTTTAGATAAAGTCATCAAAAAAGACTATTCGATTTTTCCAAAAATATTAATGCCCCTACGCTACATTCCCTTTAGAGAATACAAAAAATAGTTAAATTGAACTTCAGTAGTTCCAAATCCATCCAATAAAAAAGCCATAATTTAGATGTCGCGAAAGTGGCCCAGGAAAAATTGGATATTCTTGTGGAAGAAATTCATTTTTAAGAGGTATAAGTATGATTTAATGAGCTTTTAGTTAAATATGCATACCTATATATATTCAATCCAAATATATTAAAATTTAGCTGACCAAAAAGTGACACAGGAAAAAATCGAGGTCCTGGTAGAAGCTTCCTCCGAGCAGACTGATAAAGCAGCAAGGACAAGGGCAAAAAGGGGCCAAAAAATGTCCTATTCAGACCGTAGAAAACCTTAATGAAATAAACAACACAAACCGAGGTCTTTATGTTAGCATAAACACAGATTCAACTGTTTCTTAAATCCTAATTCCTTTTTTGTTAACAGATTGATCCGATTAGGATCCATATTATGGCTGGGGGAATTTTAAAAAACCATAGAAATATTATGGCTAATCCTGTAGTATTAGCATACAATGTTGATGGCGTTCAAGGCCAAGCTGCCTTGAAAAACGAGAGCACTTTTTATGAAGTATTCATTGGTAGGAATTATTTAATTCATTGCCGATTTAATTACTAAATTGAATCTTCACATTTCTTCCCTAGATGCAATAAATTTGGTTGATGGCAATGGATCGCCCGAAGAACAACTGCGAGAGGCCATGCAGCTGCAGAAGAAGCGATTATTGAATTGATCTCATTGAAGTTCAATAGCGAGACGGTTAGTTATGTCCTTCGCACAAGGTCGCTATGCTTTCGATGAACAAGAATATGCGACCAGAAATAGAGGTTTTGAGAGAAGAGGAGAGAAATGAGTTGGTCGTAGAGTATTGAACAAGAAAGAGCTTTGCGAAAGAATTAAGAGACACCGGAAACTCGTTGGCACGAACAGTTGTCATGAAAGGCAAAGACGAGAAACGTAACGCCCCGATTACAATAAACTTGCAATAAATATATAGAAATTTTTTTATATTTTGATTTATTAAAGCCATACGGGGTAGTTTAGCAACCCCTTTGTGTGCTTATTTGCTATTCATTCAGCCCATTTGAGCGCGCCGGCTAACTTAGTTAGCAGTTGCAATATTTACAAATATGTACACAATACAAAAATAATAACGACTGATAGGTTTTCTTTCCTTTTCTTCATCTTCTTCTCCTATGGGGAGAACGAAGGATTAAGTCCCTTGGCTGCCTTCTGTTGAGCCTCCTTGGAGTTCGACTTACTGTTAGCATATTTGCTGGCCGATTTTTGTGCCGCTCCAACCGGTCATTGTACCGACTCGAGTGCTGGTTTATGGTGCTTCTAACAAACCACTCACATCCGGTAACCAATCTCGCACTGGATCACCCTCCAGGAATTTTGTTTAAATCTGTACTTCAGCTCAGTGATCTATCATTGCATACTTTTTATCTGCTTTATTTTGACTATTGTCGCAAGCATCTTACTGCATACTTTTAGACAGTGTTGCCGTTTTGGCTTATTCTCAGCTAGATCAGGCTTATTTGCAAGTGCAATTGTGGGAAATTTTTGGAATTGTGGATAGCGGAAAATCTGACTTATTTAAGCATCGAAACAGCTTATTTTTTTAAATATCTGATTTTAGTTATCACATTAAACTTTCTCAATGACCGATTAATTGACAAACCAACAATCTGCCAACTTTTAAATTCTCCAATCACAAGTTGTGCCTTAAGATAATTATAAACAGCTAGAGAGAATTGAGTTTGTTTTCTGGATTTTCGAACTTCAAGGAATAGTTGAGAAAGGATGTAACAGATTTGACGAGGGCTTATTGCAGCCATTGCAAGTGTACCGTCAACGCTAAATTATGTGATTTTTTTGATTTTTGTTATATATTTAATACCGGTTCAAATTAGCAGCATATCAGCGCGATTCTCCCGCACACACGCATTGTTTATTCAATGCGTACAGACAAAAGCGCGCTGTCTAGCATATTCTAAATATTGCGATGGATTTATGGATTTTCCAGCCGTTAATGTAGTTGTGTCAGATTACTCTCTGCTATGAAGTTGTGAATGTGATTTCGTTTTAATTAGTATTGCAAAGAGCGAGACGGTGGCGCTGTAGGCAAAGGCGCCGGTGAAGTTTATTTTAGTTATTTTGACAAACATGCTATTGATTATGGTGCGAGTTCAAATCCCGCGGAAACTTTTTTTTTTTTTTTTTTTGTTTATTGAAAATTTATATTATTATAATTTAACTTATATTTTTTAAATTTCATAAAAATGTTTCCTTCCGTCTTATGAATATATATTAAGCTTATTTATATACGTAAGTGGTACACGCATATACATTTCTTAGCTAGCCGCTACAAATGCCAATTCGCCTCGCCTCAAGGGGGCGTAGATAGTCGTGGTTCGAACCCCGCTGAAAACTTGTATTGTTTTTAAATTTTTTATAGATTTATAAATTATTTTATATTTTGCAAATTTCATGAAAATGTTTACTTCCGTGTTATCATTCCCTATTAAGCCTATTTATTCATATAGATGGCTCACGCATATAAATTTAGGAGATATAAACTTTTGCAGTTTGCCACGCGCCTTTGGGCGGAGATCTATCCACCATAGCTTGTTGGTCTTGGGTGGTCAACAAAAATCTACATACCGAATTTCAGCTTTCTAGCTCTTCAGCTAATATGTTTTTTAGCATATCTGAAAATGCATTTTTCGATTTGCCATGCCCCTAATGGGCGGATCGGGAAAATTTGAACACTTTGTAAATCGAAGACATACAAATATCCAGACTCTAGCTTCAATACCGCCGAAATAAATTGCGTTCATACGGGCAAGACGGACACTGCACAAAGCCAATATACTCATTTCACTTTCGTGAATGAGTATGAAAATACATTTTAATAACTCAGTACTGTAAAAAAAATTATTTACATTATTTAACTGGAAACGAGAAAGAGGGAGAAACACAAATTTATTTAGTTTTCGTTTGGGAGACTATTTCAAGAGAGAGGTCAAACAAGAGCCACTCTGCCTCTTACCTTGCAATTACCTAACTCAATGAGAAGATAACATATACAAGGCAATTAATTTTTTACACAAACGTAATCATTATACGACCCTTAAATACATTTTATTCAGTGAAGCATGCACATACTTATTATCTACACATTTGTATATATATATATAAATTTTTATTCACTTTTTTATACACACTTAATATTTAATATTTTGTTATTTAAAGTCTCAATCCATGCTTAAGCCGAACTGCGACATCGACCCGCATGCAGTTTTTGGCCCGGCCGGCACTTGGCCAAGGTGTCCACCAGTATGCGGTTGTCCACCGTGGGCAGCTCCGTTGTGGTGACGTTGATGCTCACTGGCTGCAGCTCGTCCACGATGGTGCTGTTATCAACTATAGTGCTATTGTCAGCTACAGTGATATTGCATGCTGCAGTTCTGTTGTGAACCATGGTGGGGCTGTATTCGAAGATATTTGTGGATTCGTCGTTGTCATTGGGGAATACGATGCGATCGTCGACCACGCGCGTCTGGACGATAAAGATATTCCAAGAAACGATGCCCAAGAGCAGCATGTGTACGGCTTTCAACTGCATTGTTTACTTGTTTATCTGTTGTGTCTGTCGCTGTAAGGCGATCGCAGAAAAAACGCGTTTGGCTGCTTCCACTGAACTTCGGAGACTGACTCACGACGCGATCGAAGAGCGTCCGAGCAGACATTGTGGGAGATTTTCGTAGAGACAGATAGACACTAGCGATAAGAACTCAATGTTATTTGCTTTTGTACGAATAAACAAAAAAAAAAAAAAAAAGGCAACAGCAAAGTACATTTTAGATGCTAGTACGCTTTACTATTCCAAACTGGAAAGTAAAAGCTCCTTTCCAACAGTTCGAGCTGTTAAAAGCCGAGCTGAGAAAGCTCAACAGTGCCGCCTGTTCGTATATGCCCAGACTCCACTAGAACTCAAAATCATTTATTATTTATTATTATTTGACCCAGTGAAATTTATATATTTATATATATTTTTTAACAATTTAAATATAAAAGTTCAATTTAATGAAAACAAAATTGTTTAACTGAGGAAGAACAAGATACTCCGGGACACAGTCGATCGATGCTTGCAAGTGTACAGCATAGCTAATTCTATCTATACATACATTTATGTATATGTCGTACCGGTGCGATATTACGCTGTTGTTGAAAATACTATGCCATAAAAGCTGGCAGTTCGTATTAATCGATTGATTTAGTATTGTAGTGACAATTAAAGGTTGTATTGCCACTAAGAGAGGGACAACTATAGCTGTTGCTGAACGTGGGTCCGGGTCTCGCTGTGTGTGAGCTAGACGGCTAGTTATGTCCTTCGCACAGGGTCGCTGTGAACAAGAATATGCGACCAGAAATAGAGGTTTTGACGAGGAGGGAAATGAATTGGTCGTAGAATATTGAACAAGAAAGAGCTTTGTGAAAGAATTAAGCGACATCGGGAACTCGTTGGTAGGCGCTATTATAATGGAAGACAAAAACGAGAAACGTAACGCCCCGACATTTTGATATGTATTTTTTTTTTTTGTCCTAATCCGGGTGTTTTTGCTCGGGGAAAAACGGCAATACTGGTCTAGTGAGCATGTTTTCTGAAAACTTAATTTTGCATGTGAAAACTTTATTATTCCAACAAGTAATAAAAACAACATTCCATCATTTCAATTATATGCACAATAGTTTTATTTTTTCCCTCCTACAAAACGCAGCATTTTTACCATAAGTATTATAATATCAGCTTCAACTTTCCGTTAACAATACCTTATTGTAATCTCTTAATTTAGTGCGCAAACTGTGCACAAAATGTGCACGGAAAGTAATTTAACATTGCCCTTTTTCATCTCTCAATTTTCTTCCACTATCGCGTTCGCCATTTGCAAACTCTGAAAAAAGTAGCTAGAAACTATTTAAAGTTTCTTCACGTTTTTTATATTTTTGGCCCTCGAATATGTATCGTACTTTTATTGCCATTCTCTATTATTTGTTGCCCTTGTTGCATGTGCATATTATGCCCCGGAGGCAGAGCAACAAGGACAGAAGCTCTTGTGCCCAGACAACAACAAGAAATGCTTATGAAAAAGTACTTAACGTGCACAAAACTTATGTGCCAAGAGACTTCCTCATCCCGCCGACGAACAAACTGAGAAAGCTACGACATACAAATTCCTCACTGTTTGCACGACAGCAAGGAAACATAAGAGGTAAAATTGCTGCATCCCACTACTTTTCGGAGTATGAGAAATATTCCCAATAACACAACACATACCATACATCGAAAATACGGAGTAGTTGTTACGCTGTACCAGGCCAGTTGCCCGGCACTGAGTGCCCGCCTCGCATAAACAACTTTTCGTAATGCTAAGCGCATTTTTCAATAGAAGAAAAGTTTCATCGCAACATCTTGGCAAAAAAAAAAAAAACAACAACGCAACATATTATACTGCGTTAGCTACTGACTGTACTTAACTCTAGACTTGGGTAGCTCATGAGTGAGTGAGCTAAAATGAATGGCTCACTGAACTGAGGCAGTGAGCCAGTTCCTTCTATATGGCTCATTTTGGCTCACTAGCTCATTTTGGTTGTCGCAAAGTTACGTTTTTTCCCGCGAATTGTGTATTTCATCAAACTTTCAATGTCGGTAATTAGAAAGCACAGCGAAATTTGGACTCATTTTGAGGACATGGGAACGCAACAGGCTAAATGCAAGATTTGCAAAAGTGTCTTAAGCTGCAAGTCACAAGGCAATTTGAATAAACATTTAAAAGCCAAGCAATCAGCAGGTGAGCCAGTGAGCCATATGAGTGAGTTGGCTCACTTCACAAAAAAGAGCGAGTGAGCCGGTTCACCTCAATGAGCTGCTTTTACCCAAGTATACTTAACTAGTGATGTGAAAAAACATCGATGCATCGACAATCGATGTTTTTTTGGCGATGTTTACCGATGTTTTCCGATGTTTTTATTGATACCGATGTTAAGCGATGCACCGATGTTTTTAAGCGATGCATCGATGTTTTAAACGTCGCTGGTTTGATTTTTACATATTTTGCGTATATTGTCGTGTGTTGCCTGAAAGTGCAGTTATACAAACTTAAGCAGCAAATATTGCAATGCCGAAGTAAGTAAATATAGTAACATTACTTATATGTATTTATTTATGTATGTACATATGTACATATATTTATACGACAAAATCAATTGTTTTAGAATAACAACAAAGACGAGTTTTTGTGGAAGCATTTCGCCAAAATTGATGGCAATAGTGCGAAATGTAATATTTGCGGCAAAACAATCAAAACTGCAGGGAACACTACGAATATGAAAGATCATCTACGCAATGTGCATAAAATAAGGGAAGAAGACCAGACACCTGTGTCTAACAGTGGGACGCCACGACAAGCTTCAATAGCTGCAAGCTTCCAAATATCACGGATTTTGGAGGAGAAGGACAAAAAACAAAAAAATAAATGATGCAATTGTTTATGATCGCAAAGGACATTCAGCCGTTTTCAATTGTTGAAAATGCTGGATTCTTATTTGATGAATACTGTCGCACCTCGTTATGAAATTCCTTCGCGTTATAAAGTAACCAAATGGCTCGATGAGAAGTACAGTCAAATGAAAGATCTGTGGAGAACAAGGCTGACTGGAAGAGCATATCCTTAACAATGGACATATGGGTGACCAAATGTCAATGCGCAGCTATTTAGGGATCACTGCTCATTTTCTCTTGGAGCGGAAATGTCTTCATTGACAATTGGAGCTATGCAGTTAAGCGAGCGTCACACAGGACCATATCTGAGCGAAATGCTGGAAATCTGTTGCTCAGATTGGAACATTGACAAAAAGCAAGTAACAGCTATTGTCACAGACAATGGTACAAATATTAAAAAGCTGCTGAGATAACGTTTGGGCCCAAAATTCCCTGCCCTGCTTTGCGCACACGATTAATCTTATTGCTCGCTCGGCCATCCAAAGGGAATCCGTAAATGGATGTATTGCCAAAACTAAATCAATCGTTGCTTTTTTAACCATAGTGGTGTGGCCAGCGACCATTTAAGGAAAGCAACAGATAAAGTACTTATTCAGGATGTTCCAACGAGATGGAACAGTACATATTATATGATAGAGCGCTTTTTGGAGGTCAAAACGCAAGTGAACGACATTTTACTGAGTATTCCAAATGACCAAATGTTGCTTACCGGAAAGGAATTTGAGCTGTTAAACAATGTGCTTACAATGCTAGCCCCCTTGAGGAAGCAACGAAAATTGTCAGCGGAGACAAATATTGTACGGCCAGTACGGTCATACCCATTGTCAGCATCATCAAAGACAAATTAGAAAAATTAAGTGACAACACACAAGAAGCGAAGGATATGAAGGGTTCCTGCTTCTCGAAATAGAAAGGCGAATGGGATCGATTGAGCGGTATATTTCAAATACTCTTAATTGGTAGTTTCGTTAAATATATATTTGTAATGTACTGTTTTAGGTATCGATTCTAGCAATGGCCACGTTGCTTGATACTAGATTTAAAAATTACATTTTAAAGATCCAGTTGCATGTGCCAATGCACTGATGAAAATTAAATCTATGTTTAAAGAAAATGAAAGCAAAGAGGTCATACCACCGACAACAGGGGAACTCGGTTCTTTTTGGAACCACCATCACCAGCTCGCGCAGTGTCAACCCGAATGTGGATATGGACGTAGAAATAAGCTCTTATCTACGAATACCGCTTACTTCCTTCGAAGTAATCCAATAACTGTTTGGGAAAGCATGAAATGTACATATCCGAATTTGTACAAAATTGCTATGCAATTTTTGCCGGTGATGGGATCATCCGTTCCCTCTGACGGGTTTTTCAGCGGCTTCAAATATTTTGTGCCGTAAAAGAAACAGAATGACACCTGAGCGACTAAGTCGTATTTTGTTACTGCAAAGCATTGACAAAAAATATTTTTTTAATTGTTTCTTTTAATATGTAGTTTATAAGTAACATTGAAAGATAAAAAACTGCTATGAAGCATACGTTTTTTTTTTTTTTGTTTGTTTAATAATTTTTAATTAACTGCTATGAAGCATACGTATTATTTTTTTTTTTTTGTTTGTTGTTTAATAATTTTAAGATAAGATAAGTCTCATGAATATGAAAAGATTGCTATAAGTTTTTCATTTTAAGTTAAAAATAATTTAAGTGAAATAATAACGCTATGAAGCACCTATGAAGAAGCTTTAAAACCCGAAAAAACGTTTCTTAATAGAATGGGAAATACATCGATGATGAAGTTTTGACCGATGTATAAACCAAACATCGTGTTGACACAAAACATCTATGCTCCATCTGTTTTACAAATTTATCACTATACTTAACTCTTACTCTACTATTAAATTTATTCGTTAAAAAGTTTGAGAACCACTCAGAATTCGTTTTATTCGTGTGACCGAGCGATCATCGAAGCGCTACACCCATCATACGTGCAACAAGTCACAACGTAAAGGGCATAACGCAAATCCTCACGCTACCGAATAAACCGATTCATCTCATCAGCGTGGGTATGGTGTGCTTTCATTTTGTGTGAAAGTAAGTGAAGACTGACTACAGAAATGATCCTGTGAAGTATAGTCTTAAATTTTCAACGCTCACCGAAGCGCTCTATACGCTGCGCTTCCAAGAACCCGTTGAGAATTCTAAGTGCGCACACAGTAAAAAGAAACGCTCACAGTGGATGTTACGCAATTCATCACACCGTATTTCGTTGTGTATTGTTGCTCAATGTGTGCTTCAACAGCTCGATAATCAGTGAGATAGAAAGAGCAGACACGATCGTTTAATGATTTCAAATGTGAGAAAAATGTATATAAATTTTAAAAATAGAATAAAAAGTTCTTGTCACTTGGCAGCGGTGGGATTCGAACCCACGCCTCCGAGGAGACTGGTGCCTTAAACCAGCGCCTTAGACCGCTCGGCCACGCTACCATGTTCTCTTCTGCCGTCCAATATTGTAATAGAGCAAACTATGAATAGTATTGCTTATAGAGTAAAATTGAATTTAAATACATTCGAATAGAAGCAATTTGTTTAGCCAATGGAACTAAATAAAATTCAATAAACTTCTTCGTTTGTCTGGGTTCTTACAATGCACACACATTTTCCAATTTAGCGCTGTCAGCTGAACTATTTTGTTAACTCATTCATTAAACGCACAACTTGAATTTCAATTGCGCCTGTTGTCTTTCGCCTGGAATGCGGCTGGCTGTGGCTGCGATTCGCCTTTGTTCGAGTTCTTTGTCAATTGTTTGAAATTTAATTTGAGGCTCTCTTGGACATGTCGCAGGAAATTCATGGGATTCGTTGGATTCATTGGATGCCTGATAATGCCCACAATTAACTCCATTAGCATTTTGCTCCGCTTGCTGCCCAATTGCAGCTCTATGTGTCGGTCTGTCTGGCTGCACCTGGATCTGGGTACGTGATTTTTTGCCATTTTACACGCGTCTGGCATTAAAAATTTACAGCTTTGCAATTATTTGCATGCCGAGCGCCTTAAATTTGTGCAGAAATTCACGTGTGTGGCAAAATATTTTGAATGCTGACGCGGCTGCGGCTGCTTTTTGCAGACCTTTGCTGGCATTTTAATGAAACCGCAAATGTTGCCCGTGCCACGCCCACATCCTACCTTCATTCCCAAAACACCCTTTGACTACTCGCCCCTCCTCCATCGACCGTTCAACGAACTTGAGAGAGACTGGAGAGAACACAACGGCAAGGAAAACCGCAGACTTTGTTTTTGTTTTGCTTATCGCCCGTGCAAAGATTTTTATTGCAATTTTCTAATTTCATTGCGGATGTTCCGTCTACTGCCCGCCTTTCCCCATGCGTTTGTCTGTATGAAATTCCCATAGAGCGTTTCGTTTCGACTGTCGCCGGCTTCAGTTTATGGCTGCAACAACCGACAAGAAGAATAACAAAAGCGACGGCAAATTGTTGCTGCGGTTGCACATGTGAGAGGGTTTGCCCTTTCAACGTCACGCATAAATTCGCATTTTCATTTGAATTTTAAACTCATTTCCAAGACTCATCTAAGCAGAAAACGCTGACAGTTTTACAAAAACAAATATAATTTTTATACAGAATTCTTCAATATGCACACATGCATATATACATTTATATATGAAGACTATACTCAAGAAATTGATTTTGTTTTGTGGGCATTTTCCCACAATGAGCGCATTTATATGCGCCGCAGTATGGCAAGCAAAATCAACTCAAGGTGTTGCCACGAGCGCCGCCCCTAAAAATAGTTGAACAGCGAAACCGAAATATTACTGCGGCTCTGTTACTCTGTTACGTCATCGACACGCGAGCACAACAAAACCAAGCAATGGAAATTTTACAGTGCGCGAGCGCATGGCATTATGTGCGTTCTCTTTTTGTTATTCTCTCATATATAGACTTTGACACAAGAGCAACAAATGGTAGCGTGGCCGAGCGGTCTAAGGCGCTGGTTTAAGGCACCAGTCTCCTCGGAGGCGTGGGTTCGAATCCCACCGCTGCCAAGTGAAAAATTAATTTTTTAATTTATTATAAAAAAATATTTACTCTTATATCTTTAGTCAAATGACATCTTATAGTTGGAAGCGTAAGCTAATTCCTCACAATAAAATAATAATAATGTTGTATTATACCAACAACAACATATTAGAGGGCAGCTAGCGATGACGACGCACCAGCAACCACCATGTGCGTTTCTTTTCTCTTTGTGAGCGCTTAGAATTCTCAACGGGTTCTTGGAAGCGCAGCGTATAGAGCGCTTCGGTGAGCGTTGAAAATTTAAGACTATACTTCACAGGATCATTTCTGTAGTCAGTCTTCACTTACTTTCACACAAAATGAAAGCACACCATACCCACGCTGATGAGATGAATCGGTTTATTCGGTAGCGTGAGGATTTGCGTTATGCCCTTTACGTTGTGACTTGTTGCACGTATGATGGGTGTAGCGCTTCGATGATCGCTCGGTCACACGAATAAAACGAATTCTGAGTGGTTCTCAAATTTTTTAAATAATAAATTTCATGGAAGAGGAGAGAAAAGAGAGTAAGCGGAACGTGTTCTCGGTAGTTGTTATAGTGCGCAGCAATTAAAAACGTTCTGAAACACTTGGCGTTATTGTTGAAGAGTTTACTTGTCTCCTAGACAGTGGGGAGAGTTGGCGGGGCTCTCGTTTAGTTAAGTGGGCTCGTGCTTAAGGTGTGTGTTCACGGCCGACGGCCGTTGACAGAGGGGACAGACGAAGGTGATTCCAACAATTGTGTAGCGCTTTTTGAATACTTTTTTGCTGCTAATTGGAAAGCAGCGCACTTTTCTAATTACTTAGAGCTGGATGTGACAGTAACCATTGTTTAAGTGTGGTCGAACGTGCTTTTGGCTTAATTTAGAGCGTTGAAAATATCTGTATAAATTGTTGCGATAGAAGTATAAAATGACATGAATCAATATTAATTCTTTATGGAAATGGAATTATTTTAATTAAATGAAATTATTAATAATAAGTTGTAATTAAATTATAAACGGATTAAAAATTATATAATATGTTTTTTGTGCTCTTGCTATTACCATTTAATGTGTAACGAGAGAGAGAGAGACAGAGTGAGTGAGTGAGTAAAACGTGAAATATTATCGCTAATAATTGCCTTCATTTCGCACGAAACAACAATTAAGAGTTGCCTAGCCATGGCTACGGCTTTCTGCCTGCATATGGGACATACTTGAAGGGACACGTAGACGTAATGTATTGCTGCAATGAAAAGCAAATAAGAGTACGAGTGGGAGGGGAGTGTTTCGAATACTCACATAAAAATACATTTGAAATGTGGCAAGAGTAAACCGCAGCATTGTCAGCAAACATTCATTGAAACATCATCATTATCAACATTATCATCGGCAAACGGCTCGGTTCATGTAACTGTGTAGCAGGTGCTGAGCAGGGCGGGGAATCGATGCTGTAATTGATGTCTTTGCGACATGTTCCCAAAGTGTTTACGTTGAGAATTACCCAAGTGCCGCAGTGTATAAGTAACCGTGTGTATGTGTATGTGTATATTTGTGTGCGAGTGTGGGAGGACATGTCACGCCCCTTTGCTAGTTGACAGCCTGCCGTTTACGTGCACTTAATGAAATGTGCCCCAAAATGGAAGCACGTTTCGGGCATCTATTTAATGAGCCTGCAAGCGAAGGCAAAATGCTTTTCCTTCCTCTGCCCACTCCACTCCACTCCAGCCAGCTTCCTCTCGCAAGATGTTGATGTGAGTGGTGGAATTTTCTTTTTAAATGTCGCAAAGTAAATTCAATTTTCATTCGGACGAATCGGGCAACAGCCACAGCAATAGCAACTGCAGCTGCAGTCGCTGCATTATTCAATGGCACTCAAAGCAAACGCTCACCTAAACCTGGCGGCTTCTATACCCAATACTCTCGCCTCACGCGCTCTACATACTCCCAGCCAATTCTTCACATCGCTCTCGCCGGCTCAAACCGCATTTTAAAATTCATGTGTTCTCTCAACAATGCTCCATAGAAAACAAAATGCGATTAAATGTGTGGAAAATGCCGCAGGATAAACCACAATGGGCTAAGGCACCGTCTTGTTTGCACATGTGTCCCACAGCTGTTTCTGCCCCCTTTCACCACTCCCCGCTCTCGGCCACACATCCCCAATCCTCAATGCCAAAAGCCATGCAAAGCCAGCCACAGACACACGTCGAAGGTGCAAAAATGCGTTAAACATAACATGCTAATTCCGGTTGCCTGCAGCTTCAATCTTTCAGCATCAGCTGAATACTCAGGAATACTCCAGCTCCACCCCCACCCACCACTCCCTTGGGACCGCACACTTGGTGTATACGTAATATGAGCGTTCTGTGTGCCATTTGATGCTGAACATTTGCTTTGCAGCCAGTTGGCTTTGTGTTTGCGCCGTGGCAAAGTTTTGCGGTCACAGGCTAGTGCTGGGAAAAGATCGATCTTTACGTAGATCGATATTTCGATATTATGTATGGGTCTCAGATCGATGTATCGATATTTTCATAAACATATTTTAGCTCCCAAAATTAAAAAAAAAGTTTTCATATAAAAAACAAAAGATGAATTTCTTATTAAAATTAAAAAACGTTTCATATAAACTAAACTAAACTATGTAACAAAGATTATATTATTTAATAAGATCATTTACTTCGTCCAATCATTTTTGTTTATGAAGAGCAGCATATCTACTTGCTGCGGCTTGAGACAAGCCTCTCCATTTTCCTTATCCGCGTCGCAATCTACAAACAAATGCGTGTTTGTTACATTATTTTAAAACGCAAAAGCTGCAGACCACGTGTGTGGCTGACATAAGCAGTAAAATAATATTTACCTTCGCCATTGTCCTTGCTGTTTAAAAACTTATCCATTTCTCTACAACACTACCAACACCAAAATCCTAAATGAAAAGTGGGTTACGTTAGTATTTGAATTATATTGTTAAAATAATTTGCAAATTACCTGACAGTCTTATCCCACGCTTTTAATTCAAGTGATGGGGAATTAATGGTATAGTGATGGCGATATATCAAGTATCGAAGTTTTC